GGATCTCCAGATCTCGGTACATCACTGGCAAAAGCTGCAGGAATTTCTTCAGCAGTGTTTGAGGCATCACTTTGCACTGCTTGTTGCATATCATAGTCCACCAGTGCTTGTAATAGCTCCTCTTTTGTTTTCCCCCGACAGGGAATAGATCTCTCCCGGCAAAGCTGGTCTAGCACTGCCTTGGATTGCGCCTGGTACTCCATTTAGTAAATAAAAGATAGCAAAGAAAAAACAGAGAAGAGGGGGGACTGTTGAGGTGTAAATATATTATATATGCACTGAGTTCAGCCTTTGGAAATTGAGACACAATTTCTTTTAGTGCCTGGATTAACCAACAAATCCAGCAACACTAAAATCTGGTACAAAAAGATAAAAAAATCTTTTTAGTTATCCCACCGCTATGCCACCAATTTGTCACAAACGCACACTACTCCAAGAGTGTGTGTGACGTAGTTGTGGTGGTGAAAGGGTTAAAGTTCACTATTTGTCTGCACTAGACCGGAAATAATGACAAAATCCCCCTTTTAAAACCACCCACACTTAAACATAATAATATAACTATTACTATTTTAACGCTGCCACCACCAAGACAATTTATAAATGGGGTGCCTTGGTCCCCCAGGTAAATCAATAATAAAACCCACCAAATATTACTTAGTACAATATTTAAGTTATTGCAAAAACACTTCAGGTAACGTGATTCTTAACCAGACAAAGGCAGAACTTAAAGGACCACTATAGTGCCAGGAAAACATACTCGTTTTCCTGGCACTATAGTGCCCTGAGGGTGCCCCCACCCTCAGGGTCCCCCTCCCTCCCGGCTCTGGAAAGGGGAAAGGGGTTTAAACTTACCTTTTCCAGCGCTGGGCGGAGAGCTCTCCTCCTCCGTTCCGCCCCGTCGGCTGAATGCGCACGCGCGGCAAGGGCTGCGCGCGCATTCAGCCGGTCACATAGGAAAGCATTTACAATGCTTTCCTATGGACGCTGGCGTGCTCTCACTGTGAAAATCACAAGCGCCTCTAGCGGCTGTCAATGAGACAGCCACTAGAGGATTAGGGGGAAGGCTTAACCCATAAATAAACATAGCAGTTTCTCTGAAACTGCTATGTTTATGAAAAAATGGTCTAACCCTAGCTGGACCTGGCACCCAGACCACTTCATTAAGCTGAAGTGGTCTGGGTGCCTAGAGTGGTCCTTTAATAAATGAATGTTTATTATGAGCAAAAATTAATCACAGTGCATATAACAGTATATGATAAACAAATTATTTACACCAACAACAGATAAAAACAAAAAGGATAAAATACAGAAGTCCTAATTACTCACTTAGGTTTTTTCAAAGTACAACTTCTGTCCAGGGGGTCTCTGGCAAGGAAAGATGGTGACTCACTCAAAATTAGATCTTGGCCCCAAGCAAGTACACACACACCCTTCAGGATCGCAGTAGATATACCCTGTGAATTGCCACGCCTCACCCAGGGGTGGAGCAATAGGGATACTAAGTGACCACCTCCTTTGTTCCAGAAAACAACAAGCCACATACAAACTTTTGGTTTTATCGCCTCTACTGTACTTGCCACAGAAATAATAATTGCCTCTATGAATTTGTTATTGTTTTCCCATTCCAAAGACATGTGGCACGCCCCGCCCATGATCCAATAGGATGGACATCACAAGTCCTGCCACACGGTTTAAGTTGTGCAACTCATGTTTGGGCTTAATTAAAATATTGGGCTTGTCCCATTCCAAATATAATAAAAATGAGGCTTAATTATTAACCTGTGGGTAAGTATGAATGTTTCACTTGGATAAGATACTGGAACACAAGGATCTTCATGAAACGAATCCCATTACCATTTGAAATGATTGAACTATCCTTTACAAGGTACATGCCAAATGGATGAAGAGACATTCAGACTTTTCCAAGTGTAGAACCTCACACCTTGCAGATCCTTGATTACTTCACATCCATATAGTAAAATCCTTTTCACATTGCTATGCCATTCACACTATCCCTTCTGTCATCTGACCTCTGTGGGGGTCCCAGCTTCAAAAGATATAACCCCTTTTGACCTCAGCAATAGCATCTCTGTAATTTGTACATTAAAGGATGATATTCCATAGTGTAATAATAAATTATACACCCTTGCCGTGACACTGTGCTCCTCTCCCTGAATCACAGGCTGCCGCTGGAGAGGGAGACCAACTGTCTCCACTCCCATAACATTGTCCTGCTGCTGGAGAAAGAGAAAACTGTCACTGTTCCTTGTAGGACACACTGTCGTTGGGGGGGGGGGGAGGACGACACCTTCGGCCCCTTGGAACTCACACTACCGCTGGGGAGGAAGGACGACACCTTCGGCTCTCTGTATCTCACACTGCCGCTGGGGAGGAAGGACCGGTAGAGAGACCTCGGTCCCATCTCTACCTGCTGGCTGGGGTTCCTCCCGGTAAACCTCTACGATATCCTTCCAGCTGAAGGGCTCTAGACCTGGTTCTGCTACCCAGTTCTCTAGCTCTGGTTGCAGGGTAGACTGGGGTTGAATGGCGCAGAGCAGGCATTGGTAGGCCTGCTCCAGTTCCCACTCCATGGTTGCCAGGTGCATCAAGTCTGGTTTCACCACGCAGTCGACAGGCCAATCGTGCATGCCCATCCTGTAGTCAAGGATGTCCCAAAATCGGAAATCCTCTGTGCTGCCTAAATCAGGCTCCTCCTCCATGGCATCCAGTAGTAGACCAGGACCATCGTATTTGTCCCCCTCAGGCCTGTCGAGCTCCTCCATCTCAGGGGTATCCTGCACTGTATACCACCAGAGGGCCTGGAAGGCGTCCTCCAGCCAAATCTCCTTCCATACCAGCCTCTTTAGCTCTGTTACCCACTCGTCCAGGGGCTGCTCTCCTAGGAAAGACCTTCGTAGAGCCACTTGCCTCTCTTTCCGCTGCTCTTCACTGGGGAGCCTCTCACCTCGCTGCGCTGCACATCCTCCAGGCCATTCCGATAAAATCAGTGTTCGGTAGATATGTCAAAATATAGGAACAACTGGTGAATGGAGGCGAATTATGCAACATTGAAAAGAACTACCCTAAAGGAACTATTGGAAGCAAGGGGAAAAAGCGCCAGCAATAAAACTAAGGCAACCCTTGCGGCAGAACTCATGGAGGGAGACCGAGAAACCACTGCAGCAGCTCCACAGGAAAGTGACCAAAATGAGTTTATCAAGGAGATGAGGAGCAGGCTCGCCTTTTACCCAGAGACACCCCCTGTGGAGATACTACACCGACTGATGGCGGACGTACAGGAGTACCTGGTGGTCAGACTCCAAGCAAATCAGCGGGCAGGGGAAAGTGCCACAACGCCTGTCAGCATTAATCCAGGGAAAGCCAAAATTCCTTACCAAGCGTTTAAGAACTATACAGAAGCTGACGGGGATGTGGATGACTACCTGCAGGACTTCGAGAGGTTGTGCCAACTACACAACATCAGCGAGGCGAATTGGGTACCCCTACGAGCAGGGAGATTATCCGGCCGCGCAGCAGAGGCATACAGAGCCGTGCCAGATGAGGACAGTAGAGACTATGGTAAAGTAAAACAAGCCATTTTAGCTCGGTATGCGATTACCTCAGAGGCATACCGACTCAAATTTCGGGACATTAAGAAACAGAGTAAAGACAACCACTTAGAGTGGGCACAATGCCTGCAGCGAGCCGCAAAGGGTGGTTGGAAGCCACTCAAGTTAACACGATAGAGGGCCTGTTCCAGCTAAGGGTCATGGAGCAGTTCTTCGACGGGATACCGGCACATCTACAAAATTGGGTACGGGACCGAAAACCACACATCCTGCAGGAGGCTGCCAAGCTGGCAGACGAGTTCCAAGATACCCGGAGGGACCAACGCACCCAAAACCGTCCAGTCTACACGCCTACTACTCCGTTACCACCCGTGACCTCCACTATCCAACCATGACCGGGGGTAAGCCGAAATACCTACACCCCCAGGTACCCCGCCCGCCCTCCGATTTGTTGCCACACCTGCAACAAGCAGTGACATATCCAGCGAGACTGCCCCCGCAAACGACCCAGGCCGAGCTGGAACAATACAACCCCTAGCAACTGATCAGCTGTACACTGTGTACAAGTGGAACAGTACGGAGCACCTGAGGCCGTTACTACCATGGAAGAACCGTTGGGGGCACTACATGAGGTGAACCCCATTCAGGCCGCCTCAGATAATTGACAGGGACACTGGCAGGAGGTGCATATGGAGGGGAAGAAGGTGCAAGGGCTACGTGATTCTGGGGCTACCCTAACGCTAGTCCGGAATCATCTGGTGCCTAAAATTAATCTGACTGGGGGCTGTGTTGCTGTACGGGTGGCAGGGGGAGCCATTTACAAAGTGCCCACTGCCAAGGTACATTTGAATTGGGGAGCGGGTCACGGGAATGTGGAGGTGGGGAGAATGCAGGATTTGCCCGCTGACGTCATTTTGGGCAACGACCTGGGGGAGCTGACTTCAGCTTTTGTTATCCAACACACCATGCAGGAAGCGTACCCGGTGGTGACCCGACAAAAGGCCCGCACCACAGTTCCACCTAACCATTCTGAGGCTCAGGTAAGCAATGAAATCTCCATGTCCGCTGTCATGCCCTCGGCGACCCCCGTAGAATTTGGTTCTGAAGTGGCCCTAGACCCCTCCCTGCAGATATACAAGGATCGCATAGACAAAGACCAGGCAGGGCTAGAAGGGGAATGGTACACCTGGGACAAGGGGCTGCTGTACCGCCACGCAGAGAAAGTAGTGGCCGGATCCATACCCCTTCCCGTCAAACAGATAATAGTGCCTCGGAAGTATAGACTGGAATTATTAGGCATCGCTCATGACATTCCCCTATCTGGGCACTTAGGAATCAGCCGCACTAAGCACAGGCTGACCCAGAACTTCTTCTGGCCAGGTATCTCCCAGGATGTGAGACGATATTGTCAGACCTGTGATACCTGTCAGAGGGTAGAGAAGAGGGGAGACCGATACAAAGCTCGGCTCCATTCTCTACCCATAATTGAGGAACCCTTCAGTAGGGTGGCGGTCGATATCATAGGACCCCTAGCAAAACCCAGCCTGTAGCGGAGTAGCAGGGGTTAATCCGAGAACTCTCTGCTGGTAACCAAGATTCAGCATACAGAAGGCAGGAAACACAGCATAATCCCTTTCCCCAATGACTAGACGACACTTAGTCTGGGAGTCAACTGGCCTTTAATACACGAACTCTGCTTTTATGTGATTCTCCCATGCAAGGGAGGCAACTACCATAATTACTACATTACCCAATCACATAACCGGTACCTCCCCCACATCTCCTCCCCTTAGCTTAACAGTTAACCTCATTAAAATATATACAATTTTCCCCAATTCTTGGATGTACCCCAAATATGGGAGGTACACCTTTAAATGGGGTAGCTCTGATCTGGGTGAGAAACATACTTATAACGGCACCCTCAGCATTAAATAGACAAACCGCCGTTTAGTGAATCCTCCCCTCTCACCATAACACAAGCTTCATTCGTATCAACTGCAACCATACGAATTGCAAGCAGGGGAACGCTCCAATCTCCCGAACGGGACCCGTACGGATACTTCACTTCCCGAACTCCAAACTCATGAATTGCCGCTAGTAGCCGAACTCCTATATCTCCAAAGCGGCTAATATTCCCATCCGGCAGTCTCTATTCGTCGGTAATAAATCCCCCCAATAATGAGACCAAGCTCCGCATTGAGGGTAAAGCATGAACTGGGTTTACTGTGGGCTACCCGCCCGTATTTATGCAGGTCTCTCACTTGGTGGACACTCCCCTAGGGGACCAATTGGGAGACTGTAATGGCAGATGGACATACAGCATTTCAGGACACACAGGCACATAATATTCCCAGCATGCATCATGGTTTCCTCCCCTCTGCCCTGGAGATAATTGAGAAGTAATTCAATTATCTCCCAAGACAGAGGCAAATCGCCATTTTAGATACAACCCAAAAAACACATAAAAATACATAACTTTACAATTGCCGCACATTTCTCATTCGTGTAACACATCCCCAGATAGCCTGGATCTGAGTGCATATTACTGGCGAATAGCACTCAGATCCCATACGCATAGTTCAATCGCCATGGAGTCAAAGTCTATTACAGTCTTTCGGTATGCGATTGACTCCATGGGAAGGCTATCTGGGTTAAGTCCATTCGTGCGTTTCAAACTCCCGAATGGCCGGCGTTCGTATACTTTTGTCAATTGAGAAGGGAGGTCGGTGGCTTCAACGGTGTTCGGCGGAAAAAGTGTCCGTTTTCAATTCCATAGAATCTGGGCCGAACACCGCTGGTCTTTCGCCTGTTTAAAATGGCCGCCGCCTCGTGGTCGACATACGAATGACGACAACCCTGCATTCGGTTTTAATTGAGATTGTGTCTGCGGTTAACCACAACGTTCTAATTGGGATCAAGAGGTTAACCAGCAGCACACTTCACTTCTGGGTGGCCGTCCGTTCGGTAGTTTTGTTCGGCAGAAAAGTCAATTAAATGAACAGGGGCATACGAACAGGTAATTCCACGAAAAGGCAAAACAGACGAACCAGCAATCCCAGTCTATACAGATGGATCTGTCACAATACTCAAAAATTATCCAGATCAGACCAGGGGTTCGGGAGTTATGGAGAGGCAAAGATTTGACCGCCCGCACGGGTAAAGTAGCCAAAAATAGTTCCATGAGTTCTGGCCCTGCGGTCGGTCTCTGTTCATACATCAAAAGTCCCGAAAGTCTATGCCATCCAGTGTTAAGTCAGCGTTCGGATGAATCCCCTGATTCGTGGGATTCATCCTACCGAACGGCAGGCCATTCGTGGGTTTTATTCAGTATTTTCTGTAGCCCTGGAGGTCTTAGCGGTGCTTGGTTAGTTGAGTGTCCGATTTGAGTTCCAGACACTCGACGACCAAACACCGCTATTCGTGCGTTTTAAGATGGCCGCCGTCACGTGTTCGGCATACGAACGGCGGCCACACACGAACCCTATTTAACAGCATTTGCAACATTGTTGCCTTCGGTTAATGAGGGACACGCGATCAGATCAGGGTGGTCTCTCATTCGGTATTTTCAATCGTTTCCTGAACAGGACAGTGGATATGGTTCGGGAACCGATTGCCTGGTTCATATAGCTAAACAATAACGATACAGCCAGTTTACAAGTCCTGAGCATAGCTTATTTGTAAAACGAAAGTGCCTTTCCAGTCTTTTAGTGGCTAGTTTTGCCACAATGCTCCCCCAGAACCAAGCCGGCATACACAGTCTGATCCTAATGGATCGGCTTGGGGATGTCCGGAGGAGTGCTCACAGATCATTTCTCGAATTCCGTCTGTCTAGACAACCCGTCGGCGTTGCCATTTTGTTTCCCAGGGCGGTATTGAATGGTAAAATCGAAAGGCTGCAGTGCCAAACTCCAGCGCAGCAGCCTGGCGTTGTCTCCCGACACTCTGTTTAGCCACACCAACGGGTTGTGATCTGTGAACAGTGAGAATTGTTGCCCATATAAATACGGTTGTAGCTTCTTGAGGGCCCACACCACGGCCAGGCATTCTTTCTCAATGGCGGCATAGCTTACTTCCCTGTGTAAAAGTTTTCGGCTTAAGTAAGCTACTGGATGCTCTCTGCCATCGTCTCCAACTTGGCTCAGCACTGCTCCCAATCCAAACATAGAAGCTTCTGTATGGACGAGAAAGCGTTTAGTTGGATCTGGAGCAGCAAGTACAGGTGCATTTATGAGCGCGTTTTTCAGTTCTTGGAATGCCTGTTCTCACTTTGGGCTCCAGGTAACTACTTTGGGAAGGTTTTTACGGGTAAGGTCGGTGAGGGGCTTTGCTAGGGCGCAATAATTGGACACGAATTTCCAATAATAGCCGGCGGTACCCAGAAACGCTAGAACCTGTGTTTTAGTAAGGGGAGTCGGCCACTTCGCTACGCCCTCTACTTCGGCCATCCCTATGTGGCACTTGCTAGGCTTCAGGGTCATTCCTGCCTCTCTAATGCGGTCTAATGTGGGTTAAATGCTTGTCCCAGGAGTTGCTAAAGATGGCTATGTCGTCTAAGTAAGCGCATGCATACTCCTGAGACCCATCCAGTAGCCGATCTACCATCCTTTGAAATGTAGCCGGAGCATTCTTCATCCCGAATGGCATGACCTTGAACTGGTACAGGCCAAATGGGGTGACAAACGCTGACTTCGGGATGGCGTCCTCAGCTAGTGGAATCTGCCAGTACCCTTACACAGGTCTATGGTGGTGAGGTACTGGCCCCTGGCCATTTTATCTAGGAGCTCATCTATCCGTGGCATAGGGTAGGCATCTGAGATAGTCTTATCATTAAGCTTCCGGTAGTCTACGCAGAAGCGGGTGGTGCCGTCCCGATTTGGCACTAGTACTACTGGAGATGCCCAGGGGCTATCAAATGTTCTATCACCCCCAACTGTAACATCTCATCAATTTCCTTCCGCATATTCTACCTTACGGATTCTGGTATGCGGTAAGGTGGTTGACGGAGGGGGTATTGCTCTGGGGTTTCTACCCTGTGCGTTGCTAGCAACGTGAATCCTGGTAAGTTGGAGAATGTGTCCCCTTTTTCCCTGATTAATTCTAGTACCTGGGCCCGCTCTTGGGGGCTCAGCCGTTCCCCCAGTTGTACCTCTCCCAAACCTTTGTCCTGGTCCCCTCTCTCTAGTAGGTCCGGAAGAGGCAAATTGTCGGGGTCTTCCGCGGCCGAGGCGCAGATGGCATTTACCTCTTCTGCGCGTTCATGGTATGGTTTCAACATATTCACATGGAGCATGCGTCTACTGCCTGCTCCAGTGCATGGGCCGATCACATAGGTGGTGTCACATATCTGTTCCACCACCTTGTATGGGCCCTGCCAGGAGGCCTGCAGTTTGTCATTCTGAACGGGTTTCAGGTTCAGTACATTTTGTCTGGCTTGAAAACTGCGGTCCCTGGCCCCCCTATCATACCATCGGCGCTGTCGTTGTTGGGCCGCCTGGGGATTGGAGCGCACGGTCTGGGTTAGAGCCTCCAAGCGTTCCCTAAACTCTAGCACATATGGGACAATAGGGGTACCGTTACTAGGGACTGCTCCCTCCCAGTGTTCCCTAATTAGGTCCAAAGGGCCCCTTACTCTCCTTCCGAACAGTAATTCGAACGGGGAGAACCCAGTGGATTCCTGAGGTATTTTTCCCGGTACACGAAGAGCAGGTGGGGTAGGAACCGCTCCCAGTTCTTCTGAGTATCTATGAACGTACGGAGTATCTGTTTAAGTGTTCCATTAAATCGCTCACAGAGCCAGTTAGACTGGGGGTGGTAGGCGGAATTCACGATAGGTTTCACCCCACACACTCTCCACAACTGGTGGGTAACCTCTGCCGTGAATTGGGTACCCCGATCCAAAATAATCTCCTTGGGAAACCCCATGCGGGAGAAGATTCGGATGAGGGCATCCACTACGGTCTCGGCGTGCATGTTAGTTAGGGCCACTGCCTCAGGATACCTAGTAGCATAATCTACTACCATTAAAATATACTTTTTGACGGAAGGGCTCGGTTTAGCTTGGGGTCCGATTATATCTACAGCCACCCTACTGAATGGCTCCTCTATAATGGGGAGGGAATGAAGTTTTGCCTTGTACCGGTCTCCTCGCTTACCTACCCTCTGACAGGTATCACAAGTCTGGCAATACTGTCTTTGGAAACGCCTGGCCAAAAGTAGTTTTGGGTCAGGCGGTGTTTAGTCCTACTGACCCCTAAATGCCCGGCCAGGGGAATATCGTGGGCAATACGTAGCAACTCATGCCTATACTTCCTGGGGACTATTAATTGTTTAATAGACATGGGAATCGACCCTGCCACAATCTTCTCTGCGTATCTGTACAGTAAACCTTTTTCCCAAGCATATCTCTCTGCCTCCAACCCAGCCTGATTCTGCACTACCCTATCTCGGTAAACTTGCAAGGATGGGTCTTTGGCTGCCTCGCTACCAAATTCTAGGTGAGGTGCCCATTGGACAATAGGGTGTGTGTGTTTATCGCTTACCTGAGCCTCAGAGTGGTTGGATGATGCGGCAGTGCGGGCCTGTTGCTGGGTAAGAACTAGTAGGGCTTCTTGCGCCGGGTGTTGTGGCACAAAGGCCGAAGTTAGCTACCCCAAATCATTGCCCAAGATAACGTTGGCCGTTAAATCCTGCATGAGGCCCACTTCCACGTCCCCGGAACCTGCTCCCCAATCCAAATGTACCCTGACAGTGGGAATTTTGTATATAGCTCCCCCTGCCACCCGTACCGCCACGCATTCCCCAGTAAGCTGGTTCTTTGGGACCAAGTGGCTATGAACCAAGGTTATGGTGGCCCCAGATTCTCGCAAACCTTGAATGCGCTTTCCCTCCATATGGCCTTGGGTCAACGGTTGTCTGAAGCAGCCTGTAATGGGTTGACTTCATGCAGGGTTCCCAGGGGTTACTCGGTGGATCCTGTTGGGTATGGTTGTGGTCGGGGCTCACTCGGGTAGCAATGCACTGCTGCCCTGGTACTGGAGGGGTTGGTCTGGTTATTCCCTGTTGGTTGGCTCCTGTTCCGGTGGCAATCTCGTTGCATGTGGCCCTGTTGATTGCAGTTGTGACAGCAGATAGAGGAACGGTTGTTGTACCTGGGTGGTGGTTGGTAGTTCCCCCCACCGGGACGGGGTGACGGGGTTGTGGCGGCAGCTGGAGGTTGTGCTGCGGCCCTGCTGGTATGCCGTGACTGTGTCCGTTGTGCCCTTCTGGCATCTTGGTACTCGTCCGCCAATTTTTCAGCATCGGGTAAGGTATGGGGTTTCCGGTCCCTCAGCCAATTCTGTAAGTCCGTGGTCAGCCCTGAACGAACTGCTCCAATAAAAGCAGTTGCAACATGTCCTCCACGGTAGTGGCTTGCGCCGCTTGTATCCATCCCTTGGCAGCCCTGGTTAACCGGTGTGCCCACTCCGTGTGTGAGTCCCGGTCCTGTTTCCGAAGCTCACGGAACTGCTGACGGTATGCCTCTGGGGTTATGGCATACCAGGTCAGGATGGTCTGCTTCACTTTCTGGTAGTCCCTGCTGTCCTCATCTGGCATGGTGCGGTAAGCTTCGGCTGCCCGGCCCGATAGCTTGCCCACCAACAGGGGTACCTGGTCGGTTGCGCTGATGTCATGTAATTGGCATAACCTCTCGAAGTCATGCAAATACCCATCAATGTCCTCGGTGTCCACATAATTTTTAAAAGCATGGTAGAGAATTTTGGGCTTTCCCTGAACAATTCGAGGTGGTGTTGGAGACCCCTCTCTGGATCTCTGGCCTGCTTGCTGCTTGGCCATTACATATTCGTGCACATCGGCCATTATCCGTTCCACCGTTTCCGTAGGGGGTGTTCGTGGGAAAAATGCCAGCCGGCTCTTGAGCTCTTTTTCAAACTCTGTCTGTGTAGTTTCCATTGGAGGTCCTGCAGCAGCTACTCTGTCTCCCTCCATGAGTTCAGCAACGAGGATGGCTTTGGCTTTATTGCTGGCAATGATTCCCCTTGCTTCCAATAGCTCCTTCAATGTAGCCCGTTTCAAACGTGTATAATCCGTCCCCATTCACCGTCCGTTCGGGTAAATTCACATACTCTCGAACGCCGGTTTTCATACGAATAGGGATTTCCACGAATTGCTGTTCCTTTTCCTTTGTTCGTGCCAAATCTGCCGAACGATGTTCTGCTGTGTGGTTTGAATCCCGTCGCTTGCCACCAAATGTAGCGGAGTAGCATGGGTTAATCCGAGAACTCTCTGCTGGTAACCAAGATTCAGCATACAGAAGGCAGGAAACACAGCATAATCCCTTTCCCCAATGACTAGACGACACATAGTCTGGGAGTCAACTGGCCTTTAATACACGAACTCTGCTTTTATGTGATTCTCCCATGCAAGGGAGGCAACTACCATAATTACTACATTATTCAATCACATAACCGGTACGGCAGGCCGTTCGTGGGTTTTATTCAGTATTTTCTGTAGCCCTGGAGGTCTTAACGGTGCTTGGTTAGTCGAGTGTCCGATTTGAGTTCCAGACACTCGACGATCAAACACCGCTATTCGTGCGTTTTAAGATGGCCGCTGCCACGTGTTCGGCATACAAACGGCGGCCACACACGAACCCTATTTAACAGCATTTGCAACATTGTTGCCTTTCGTTAATGAGGGACACACGATCACATCAGTATTTTCAATTGTTTCCTGAACAGGATGGTGGATATGGTTCGGGAACCGATTGCCTGGTTCATATAGCTAAACAATAACGATACAGCCAGTTTACAAGTCCTGAGCATAGCTTATTCGTATAACAAAAGTCCTTTTCCAGTCTTTTAGTGGCTAGTTTTGCCACACAGTCCATCTGGCAAGAAATATGTCTTGACCGTGGTGGTTTATGCCACCAGATACCCTGAGGCAGTGGCCTTGACGAACGTGCACGGGGAAACAGTAGCCGATGCTCTGATTCAAATCTTCTCCCGCGTGGGGTTTCCCCGGGAAATGATCTCGGATAGGGGCACCCAATTTACCGCGGAAGTCACACACCAGCTCTGGAAGATATGTGGGGTACAACAAATTTTGAACTCCGCTTATCACCCCCAGTTTAATGGGCCTTGTGAACGGTTTAACGGAACACTCAAACAGATGATCCGTACGTTCATAGACACTCAGAAAGACTGGGAAAGGTTTCTCCCCCACTTGCTATTTGCTTATAGAGAAGTACCCCAAGAATCCACCGGGTTCTCTCCTTTCAAACTGTTATTCGGAAGAAGAGTGAGGGGCCCCCTGGATTTAATCCAGGAACACTGGGAGGGAGAAGGAATTAATGGTACCCCCATCATACCCTATGTGCTTGAGTTTAGGGAGCGCCTGGAGGTCCTAACCCAGACCATATGCAACAACCTCCAGGCGGCCCAACAACAGACGGTACGATAAGGGAGCTAGGGACCGCAGCTTTCAGGTGGGGCAAAATGTACTGATCTTACGACCTGTCCACAAGGACAAACTGCAGGCTTCCTGGCAGGGCTCATACAAAGTGGTAGAACATATCTGTGATACCACCTATGTGATCGGTCCGGCCACGGGCGCGGGAGGCAAACGCATGCTCCATGTGAACATGCTCAAGCCATACTACGAGCGCACCGAAGAGGTAACCGCTATCTGTGCACCTGCGGCCCAGGATTTTGATAATTTGCCACTCCCAGACCTCCTAGACCAAGAGGGCCAGAGCGGAGACCTAGGAGAAGTACAGTTGGGAGAGCGGTTAAATCCCCAGGAGCGAACCCAAGTCCAGCAGTTAATTGCAGAAAAAGGAGATACTTTTTTCCAATCTACCCCGATACACACCATTAGCCACTCACAAGGTGGAAACCCTAGAACAGACTCCCCTTCGTCAAACCCCTTACCGCATACCAGAATCTGTCAAAGAGAGTATGCGTAAGGAGATGAAATGCTACAGTTAGGGGTGATAGAACATTCTGAAAGCCCCTGGGCCTCCCCAGTAGTACTAGTACCGAAACGGGACGGAACGACCCGTTTCTGTGTAGACTACGGAGGCTCAACGATAAAACGATTTCCGACGCTTACCCTATGCCCCGGATAGACGAGCTCCTAGACAAAATGCCCAGGGGCCAGTACCTTACCACGATAGACCTGTATAAAGGATACTGGCAAATTCCGCTAGCCGAGGACACCATCCCCAAGTCAGCATTTGTCACCCCGTTTGGCCTGTATCAGTTCAAGGTTATGCCATTCGGGATGAAAAATGCCCCGGCTACCTTTCAGAGGATGGTAGATCGGCTACTGGATGGGTTTCAGGAGTACGCTTGCGCCTATCTAGATGACATAGCCATTTTCAGCTACTCCTGGCCCGAACACCTGACCCACATAGGAGCCATACTAGACCGGATTAGGGAGGCCGGACTGACCCTCAAACCCAGTAAGTGCCATATAGGGATGGCAGAGGCTCAGTACCTAGGGCACAGGGTAGGAAGCGGACAACAGAAGCCAGAACCCACAACCCCCCGCACCAAAACGCAAGTCCTCGCAGGGTGCTATCGTAAATTTGTGCCCAACTACAGCATCCTAGCCAAACCCCTCACTGTCTTAACCCGTAAAAACCTCCCAAAGATAGTAGTATGGGCCCCAGAGTGTGAACAGGCCTTTCAACAGCTCAAGACGGCGCTTGTAAAATCACCTGTACTTTCTGCTCCTGATCCAACTAAACGCTTTCTCGTCCATACAGACGCTTCTATGTTTGGATTGGGAGCAGTGCTGAGCCAAGTCGGAGGAGATAGAGGCGAGCACCCAGTAGCTTATCTAAGCAGAAAACTTTTACCCAGAGAAGTAAGCTACGCCGCCATTGAAAAGGAGTGCCTGGCTGTGGTGTGGGCCCTCAAAAAGTAACAACCCTATCTGTATGGGCAACCATTCACATTACTCACAGATCACAACCCGTTGGTGTGGCTGAACAGGGTGTCCAGAGACAATGCCAGGCTGCTGCGCTGGAGTTTGGCGCTGCAGCCTTTTGACTTTACTATCCACTACCGCCTTGGGAAGCAAAATGGTAATGCTGACGGGTTATCCAGACAAACAGACATTGAACAGTGATCTGTGAGTACTCCTCCGGACATCCCCAAGCCGATCCGTTGGGATCAGACTGTGTATGCCGGCTTGGTTCTGGGGAAGCATTGTGGCAAAACCAGCCATTTCAGCATGTATTTTCATGTGTGGGATGCTATCCCTTTAAGGACTGTAAGAACCACGTTGATAGCTGTATATGTGTATTGTGCGAACAAGAGCATTCGTATGCTGGCGGCAAGAAAGCCACCAGCATTCATACAATAGCTTCCCAAACAGGGTATTTCAACCCTGTTCGGAAAATGAACTAACTACCGAATGGGAGACCACACACAGGAGGTTGTGTGTCTCCCATTAAAGATTGCAACAATGTTTCCTTCGGTGATTATTGGGTTTCAGGGTGGCCGCCGTTCGGCTACCGACCATGCATCGGTTGGCCATCTTAGTTCTTTTGTTAGCCCAGTGGTATCCCTCTCGTACAGCAGTGCATGGTGGGAGAAATGTCCGGGTTGTTAAGTTCCCCATGTAGTCCCCTACTGTACCACCCCTGGAATGTCAGTAGGGAAACCCCTTGCATGGGGAATCCCATAAATACGGTGACCTGTGATTAATAGTTTATATGACAGACAGTATATATGACAGACAGACAGTTTATATGACAGACGGACAGAGAGTTTATATGACAGACAGAATATATGACAGACAGACAGACAGTATATATGACAGACAGCTTATATGACAGACAGTATATATGACAGACAGACAGTTTATATGACAGACAGACAGACAGACAGTTTATATGACAGACAGACAGACAGTTTATATGACAGACAGACAGTTTATATGACAGACAGGCAGACAGTGTATATGACAGACAGACAGTTTATATGACAGACAGTTTATATGACAGACAGACAGTTTATATGACAGACAGGCAGACAGTGTATATGACAGACAGACAGACAGAGAGTTTATATGACAGACAGTATATATGACAGACAGACAGACAGTGTATATGACAGACAGACAGTTTATATGACAGACAGTATATATGACAGACAGACAGTGTATATGACAGACAGACAGAGAGTTTATATGACAGACAGACAGTATATATGACAGACAGACAGACAGAGAGTTTATATGACAGACAGTTTATATGACAGACAGGCAGACAGTGTATATGACAGACAGACAGACAGACAGTGTATATGACAGACAGACAGTTTATATGACAGACAGACAGACAGGCAGACAGTGTATATGACAGACAGACAGACAGTGTATATGACAGACAGACAGACAGTGTATATGACAGACAGACAGTTTATATGACAGACAGACAGTGTATATGACAGACAGACAGTGTATATG